TGCAGGTAGCCAGCAGCAAGATATTTTAGAATTAATGTTAGAATCATAACTATGCATGGAAAGGGGTAAAATAGTTTAAATAATTAACCGCATATACCCTTAACCCCAGCAGTCAGACCAAAGGAAATGGTCGTTTTAGGGGTTCTGAGGAGAAAGGAGGAAAAGTAAGAGTTACGTGTAAAATAGAAAAAAAACATAGCTTGAGTTGTTTCACGCGGCCGCTGGCAGTAAGTTGTTACCATATACTGAAAAAAATAATTTTCCAGAAAGCGGGCCGGTAATCAATGTGCTTTTTAGCAAAGAAAAACCTTATCTAATAAGTTGTCTATTTAAAAACGGCTTTACTGTGGCCTTTTCCTGATGTAATTTAGACTCATGCACTCTTATCGAATGATCTCCATAAACAAAATTTGCAGATGCTCCCTCTGAATCATCTTAATATGCATATAATAACGAAACGAACTATGAGCTGAGACGAAAATGTCGTCATCCTGCTTACTTGCGGACCGTTTTCCACCGGTTTGCTCATTGCCGGGCAGAACTGGGTCATTAAAAAAGAGCCAAAGGGTAACCTTACTTACGTTGAAACCACTGGTTAACGACTAGTCTGAAGCTCTATTTCCTGCACCTTTGTTCCCCCGAAATTCGACTGCAGATACAAATAGCTTAGACATGGATTGCATACGCCGCGTCAGAGAATCGTGATAACAAGGCGCGGTTGTTCATATATATGTTTGTTGAAAGTCCTCAATTTCGGTGTCATAAAACTCTCTACAGCTGAACAAGTGTATTACATATCTTGATGGCACAATAACCAACATATTCGCAAAATATATCACTTTAAACATAATTTGCTCTCCTTTTCCCCAAAATAATGTGTTATTTCATAATTGTACTACCCTTAATTAAATAAACTGGAGATAAAATTTTCTGTTCTTTCGAAAAAGATAATTAAACAATTTCCGGTCATTCATAATATTCTTTAATAGTTCAATGAGCACAAATACGAATTGTTGGTCCGCAGAGGTTAATAGCAGAAGCAATTACTTAAATATTAAAAGGCATTACGTTTGGCCCCAGTTTGCTTTCAATTTACTCATCTTAAGTGACCTATGTTCTAGAAGACAACATTTTACGCCTCAAATTAATTCAATGAATAAAATAAGCAACCCCGGATGCATGTTAAATTACCAACTCAAACTCTGACGTTCTCATTTAATCGCATATGCAATTTACTCTGTAAACCGATTATATTCCTCTTTGATTCTTTGGACTACAGTGTGGCCATAAATGCATGAAGTCAAAACGTTAGCAATCTTTTGACAACAGCTCAATTTGGCCTATATTTGACAACGTTTTCAAAGATAATTCTTCAAGATGTCAAATATTGACGATTATGGATTACTTTTGAGTCCCCGTTTTTGTAGGCTTTTGTGCCTTATTTTATTTATTTTGAATGAAGGATGTTTTTTTATTAATTGTGGAATGATGTTTTCAAACTGAAGGGTATCTCTTTTTCAGCTCAGCACTGAAATCAACAAATGCTTTCAAATGCTTTAAATAAACACTGGTATATCTGGATAACAAACCCCTGCAGGTAATTTGCGTGATTGCCAAGCTTATAGTTTACTGCGGATAAATGTTGTGCGATTATCTGGTGAGTATCCTCGATTGTGTCGCATTGCGGCCTTGCACTCCTTACCCTACTTTATCAAATGTTCTGGACCGAGCGGTGATGTGATTGAGGACAGTCAAGTTGCCCGTCTTTTATATGGTCGTCAGCAGGGCGT